CAACGTGGTCTAATGGAAAGTGTTCCTACCCATGAAAAGGGGCTTGAAAATGGGTCATCTCCAAACAAATTTTTCCATGATTTTGTCACTCTATTAGTCTTCTTATTGAAGAAGAAACCTAAATCTCTGCTCAGCTCCCTTACATTGCTCCCAACAAGCTTTTCTCCCCCTGCATTCATTAGTGCAGTTTTTACTCTGTGCAGAGATGCCAAAGTGAAGGCTGGGTTTGCTCTTAGAGGTGGTTTCATTGCAAGCATAGAAGAGGAAATACATTTTACCAAAAAACTTCAAATGTACTGGGAAACCTTAGGGAGTGTGCAGAAAGCAAGACAAAAATCATAGATATGAAGGTCAGGTTCAAGGTGTTCTGTTTGTACAGAAGACTGTGCTTGTGTTTGTAGAATATATGCTTAGGAAATTTGCTGGATGAGTGCCTTATAAAATTTGATTAAACTAAATAAACAAAAAAAAAGCACAAAATAGCCAGTTTTTACAATATGCTTGAGAGAAAAGCAAGCAAACAGCTTTTTTATTACTGTTAAGAAAAAAAATGAAGTGGGGAAATGAGGTATCTCAGCTCCTCAAAGCAAGTAGCAAAACAGACTCAAAATTTTGAAGATTTTTGTTCTGGGGTTTGTCTACTTCACTGACATTTTACTTTTTAAATGTTTTTCATAAGGCATAGTGCTTATTTTATTAATTTTTGTGATTTCTTTCATAAATGGAAATAAGTGAATCACAGTGAAGTTAGTCTAAAGCTGGGACAGTATTGAGTTCAAGAGGAACAGCAGAAATTTATTGAAGTTGCAAATAGATCTGGGTCCTGTCAGAAGTTACTCTGTCATTTACCAAGAAAACTTCACTGAATTAATGGATTTTAGAGGAGAAGGAGACCTAAGACTATCTAATATGCCATATTTATTTTGCATGCCATAGAATTCCACTCAGTTATCTCTGCAAAACTATTTCCTGCCAGATAGCGGGCCAGATCTCACCTCTGCTAACTTTAACCACTTCGGTCTGAAAGCACTCTCCGGAGATGTTCTCTGACTGGGCTGTTGCAGCTTTACTGTAGAAAGGCCTCAAAGGTTCTGAAGTCCATGAAACATGGAATGAGAGCTGTATGTATGTGCTCCTTTTGTAATCCCACAGTACGAGGTGTTGCTCAAGACAGGAATGAAACGAAGCAAAGGAAAATCAATGTTTAACTTGGAAATATTTGTCAGTTAACAAGTCACAAGGAGGCAAGTATCTCTAGCACCTAGTAGGAATTTATTTTATACTTTACTAATTTATACTCCTTTTTTGAGTGGGGAGTGTATTTAAAAAAAGTGAACACAGACAAAAAATATCTTCCTTTTGAGATTTGTTACCATTGGATTTCCTAAATTCAGGAATATTCTCTAAATGTACTGGGACACATTTATTTTGTAGAAGTCAGTCTATATGGAGTCTGACCACACCTAAACACATACTGAAATCTGTCCTTTTTATGGACAACATGTAATTGCGTGCATAAACCCCTGTTCTGTTTAGGGATGCTTTCCTGAACTGGAAATACAGCTTGCATTCTTCAATCGTTTTAAGGGTTCTATTTTCTGGCATTTTGTTTGTTTTCTCCTTTTTTCACTTCAGAAACACTTCTGTTGAGTTTAAAGGTATGTTCCTTTACAGTCTCACAAACTCTCAGTTTATGAGTCCTGAAATTCCTTATTCAATAAAATCTCCTGGAAATCCATATAAACTCTGTCTACAATAAATAGGAGACCTACTTCACCCTCAATTTCTGGATCTCAGGTCTTTATCATCCTGAAGAATGACTTAATCCCTCTGAGGGAGGAGTCTCCCAGGTATTTCCGTATGGATCAGTCCCGTAAAGCGTTGATCTCTGTCTCGGAGCCACATCGATCTGTCTTGTCTGCAGTGGCTGAAAGGACTTTATGCATTGGATTTCCTCAGAAGTGCTATAAAATAACACGTCTTGGCGAGTGAAGCCAGCCTGTTAACGTATGGATTTTCTGCCTTGAGTGATTTTCTAAAATCAATAACTCATTAAAAAGAAAAAAGCTCAATTCTCACAATTCATAACCATGCAAATAAACAGGCTGACTTCAGCAGCAGCGCCCAGCTGAGTTAGAATAGGAGGTTTGGAGGGTGTTGTGTTGTTTGTTCAGTTGCCCTGACTGCAGTTTAATTTTTGCTGGATCCTTGTTGGAAAAAAAAATATTTTAACAGCAGTATTCATTCATTAAATCTTAAGAATAATGCTGTGTTGGCAGAATGATTAAGTAGTTGCTAAAAATAAGGTCTTCTGGTGAATCCTTCAAAAATAGGGCTACATCCCCAGGAAGTATTTCTTCCAGCAAAGAATAAAAGTGTAAATCTTTTTCAAAATCACAATCTCTAGAAATGCTTTATGCACATAATAATTCCTCAAAAAAGTGTCAGATAACCTGGCAGGGGAGGAAGCTTTCCATCCCAAGTGTGCAAAGCAGTGCAGTCATTAATTTATTGACTGAATTGACCTGACTTTTAAAAGACTCCCTGGCTTGGCATCAGTATTCTGTTTATCTCACAAGCAATGAATCTCCTCTTCCTCCCTGTGTGTAAATACTTAATAGCTGTTAACTTAAAAGGTCAGACCTTGCTGGATCCATAAGTATTGTACTTCAAGGTATGTTTGGATCAGAGTTTTCTTTTTCTTCTGCTCAGATCTCAGGTTGCTGCATTACCTGCTCTACTTGACATTCTCAGTAGCTTGGAAACCGTATCAAATGTTTTTCAGAGAGTTAGTCCTTTATTTCAGGGTGATTTTCTTGCACCCAGACGTATTAATTTAAAATATTTAGGGTTTGGTTTTCTTTCCCCTAAGTACAGCGACAGGATTTCGAATGCTCCACAGGATGCTGAAGTCAGCCGCTTTCACGAAGCTTTTCCATATGATGCATGTCAGCAGCACAGCTTCAAGGAGTGTCTTCTCTTCCACTTAGCATGACTTTAACAGGTGTCTCAGAATGCCTCTGAGCAGGGCTGGATTAGTGCCTGGGATCTGGGAATAAAGAGAGAAGGTGGTGGGGTGTGGGGGCAAGGAAGGGAATCTTCCATCTGTGGAAGATGAACTGGTTCCAAAGGACACCCTCAAGCAAAGAATCACGTTAGGTAGATTCAACTTTAGTGTGAGAAAGAGCAAACCTTGCATGTCAGCAGGGATCCTATGGTTTAATAAATTACTGGAAGGTTAGGACAGTGAGACATGGCCTCTCTAGAGGAGTCTCCGGAAGGTCTGAGGGAATCTTGAGCCCATAAAAAATTTCTTGATCTCAAATGAAAAATGTACAACCAAGCATTCTTGAATGCCTGTGTGCTGGATTCCTGTCCCTTTGAGGCCACTGGAAGAACAAACAGAGCAGAAATTTTCCAGCCAAGGAATTAAAACCTGAAACTATTGTGTTCATTTTGTGAGAAAATTATAAGGGGCTGTTCCAGGAGCAACCAAAACTCAGTTTTCTATGGAACCATATCCTGGGTCTCCCATGCATCATGTAGGGACCTTCATGAGATCCCCAGATCCCAGGACCACTCATGAGCAGAAAGGCAGAAGGCAGCTCCTGCTGTATCTGCTGTGGAGCCCTGCATGGGCTGATTGGAAGGCTGGAATAAGCTTGGAGGGCTTGGAATAAGCTGTTTGTACTGACTGGAAAAGGAACCATTGATCCCACCTCCTTCAAGGAGATTTTCCTCAGCTGGGGGCCCTAATTTAGGTCTTATTCTTCTATGCAATGACAAGAGCTGTAGGAACATAATTATCTCCAAATCTTTTGGTTCTCCCCTGACAACTTGCATTGAAATGTGGCAGTGGGTTTGAATGTTATTAGGGGTAGACATGAACAGACAGAAGGCATGACTGCATAAGCCTCATTTCCTTAGGAAATCAAGTGGAAATGTTTGTATAGTTTATGTACAGCACAATATGGTTTGTGTCTGTCATATTACCTTGAAGGTTGTTGTTGTAATCATATGCTCCATTGTTGTGCTTCATCTAATCTAGAGTTTGTACAAGTACTGCTTTGGACCTTTGTGATTTGTTTTCCTGCATCTCATAGGAAGCCAGGACTGGAAGGGGCGTCCTGGGTCAGTGTGTCAAGGCTCCTGCCGAGGTATATGGACTGTAAAAGTTAAAAGAGAAAAATACTCTATAATAAACTTCTGATTGGTACAGTGGGAAAGTTAATGAGACAAATGAAACCTTCCGTGTGGCCTTTGCAAAGCTGAAAGTCACAGCATGGGGCAGTCGCCTTGCAAATCTTGGGTCATTAGCTTATCTTGTGCAGTAACTGCTATGGATGAATGTCAGAGGATGAAGGAATTTTCCCCTTTACAGCACTGAAGTATTCACATGTTCCTCAGAAAAAGGAAACAAGAGCCCAGAAGACCCTCCAAGAAATAAGACAATAGGTAAGAGAAGGACAGCAGTTTCTTATATACAGGTCACAAGGGAACAACAGTATCAGATTATTTCTGAAGCTGTTTTATAATGCTCAAAAGAGAGCTTGGTGGTGTAAGAGTAAAAACCAGGGGTTCCCATCTTTCAGAATTTCTGGTGCCTTTAGCTGTGCAATGGTTGTCAGTATTAAATGTGCTTCTCTACTATGTATAAGTACTTGCAGACTGTTAAGGACACTTCTGAAGTATCTCTGTTCCAGAATATCTCAATTATTTCAAATCTCAGTGATAAAATTCCCTCAACATAGAACTCTGTATAAGCAGCAGTTCAGAGAAAGGAGAGCCTGAAAGGAGGACAATAGTTTATTTGACAGTTACCAGAAACTGAAAAGAAAATAAAGCAGTACTTTGAAAATCTCAGTTTTGCACTATTTAAACTTGTTCAAAATAAGAAAGATGTTTTCCAAATCATTTCAAACCATTTGCCTTTTTGATAACAGAGTCTGTACATAATAAAAGCATTGACATTTTTAATGTTTTGTATGGAATATCTCTAGGATGAACTGGGAAGTCCACTGACTGCCTTCACTGCTGCCTTTGGCTTGGTTTTGTAATTTTACATCTTTGTCCTTACACCGGAGCCTGATCCAGGAAACCAGGGAGTACTTCAGGTTCTTCCATTGAAATGCTTGAGGCTGTGAGTATTTTTAAGCATCCAAAGAGTCTCTTTGGCTTTGGTTTCACTGTTTGAATCTTAGGGGGTGAGGTGTACACTTAAATACTTCATTGGGCTGTGCTGCACACCTGAGCTCTGAGCACAGGTAGGAACTGACAGTGGTAAACTGAGCTCCATCAGCCTTGTGCCTGTTCACAGACACCCAGAACAGAAATGTGCAGTGAACTACATTCTCTGAGCAGTTCATGAAATCATAATGAGAAAAAGGAAATTTTAAGCTTTATTTCAAAAAAGTCCATTTGCCATAAAAATTACATGCTTTAGAAGAATTAGGCAGTTTAAAAGTCATTCTAGAGTCTGCATCATTAAACTTTGGACCTTTAAAGGTATTTAACTGTTGAACTCCTGACTCGGTGGAGACCCGTTTCAGAATGTTGTAGTCACTTCTGTTTTAAGGTGTTCAGAATGAGCTAGACTTTTAAGCACTGTGTTAATGCTTGCAGCAGGTTAATTTTTAACAAAGAGGTTTTCTTCATGAAAAGCATATTTTCTGCCCAACAGAATCTGGTAGTGTTTTCCATCCAAAATTTGAAGACTCCTAAGTTTAACATTGCTGCTAGGTTTGCTCAGTCAGGCTCAGCCTTTAGAAAAAAGGCTGTTAAAAAATCTATCACCCAAAGGAGGGATCCTGACTGCTTTCCATTACGGGGTTGCCCCTCAAGACTCTGTTGCAATGGCTTTAAGCAGGTGTGACTCATTTGTATGACTTCGGCTCTCACGCTGCTTTGGGGAACCAGCTGGCTTTGGGCTTAGTGCTCAGATCTGAGCCTCACCAGGACCTGTTTCTAAGCCCACCTCATCCTTTACTCATCTCATCTTAAATTTCATCCATTACACCATGGCCATTATGCAGTGACTGATGATCCCAGCCTGTCACTGCTCCTCTTTGTCCAGCCATCAGCAGCTCAATCCCTTTCCCCTGGAGCCTGTGCAGTGCAAGGGCTTTGTCATCCTTGCAGGGCAGATGTGTTGACAAGTGACTGCCTGACCAGTGAGTTTGTCTCCCAGTTTGTATTTGGGTGAGTACATTGTCTCTCATACTTCTGTTGCATCAAGCTCAACATCTTTGCAATAAATAAGGCCCTGCCTCCTTCAATCTCCTCAGTGTAGAATTGAGTTGACTTGGTAGAGCAAGTAAAAAGACTGAAGCCAGTTGGCCAAATCCTGTTTTCAGTCACCATTACAAAAACTACACTGACTCCACTAAAGTCAACAGAGAAAACCCTTGAACCCTTAAAACCAGAATGAATTGTTTATATTGACTTCTGGGATAAGTGCAAAAACAATTAAAAATTCTTTTTATCATTAGTTATTATAATGCCATAGAAAAACACTTACATTAGGCATCATCAGCTTTTGAAGAAACCAAGTGCCCCAAAGCACATCCATGCTCCCACAACATGTCAAAGCCACAGCTGAAAATTCCTCTTTCCATAAAGGTGCATTTACTTACTGGATTCTATTGCATTTCGAGGGAAATACTTGCATAAAGAAGGAAAAATTAGTTATCTATATCCATCACAGAGCTGGAGAAATTCCTGTTGAAGTTTTGCCACCTATGCTTAAGAAACTTCAAAATTATTTCAAGTATCACCTTCAAGTTTTATTCTTATGTTAATAATTGACAGCACTATCCCCCCCACAGTGTTTAATATGGGCAATGCATTGAGGGGAAAAAGTATATTCACTTGAAATTCATTACTGTATTTACAATGCTGGTTTCCCATGCTTATTTTAAGGTCATTTGGGAAAAAAGCTTTAACTCCAAAAAAAAGAAAAAAGAATTCATTGCTATTCTGGGAGTTAGACTGTCACTTAATAAATATATTTCTGATAATAAAAATTGGTGTCATTTTCCTTGCAGGGACTTATTCGGAAGAAAGTTAATAAAAACTGCATGGAAAAAACAGCATCACAGCTATTTTTTTTTTTGCTCAAAATTCCTACAGGAAAGTTAGCTGAATGCAAAAAGAATCAAGAAACAGAGAAACATTCCATGGTCCTTAAAACCCAAAGGTAAGATTCTCTTCCTAAATATACTATTAAGCAAGGTAGCTCTGATGAACCTTTTTTAATACCTTTTAAGGACAAAGACTTAACTGGCCCTGCTGATGGGAAAGTCATAATGTGGCTTTTTTCCTGATGGCTTTCTATTCTTTGTATGTGTGACAGATGTCAATGAAGTTGAAAAGTGTCCGTTTCCCAGCAGGATGCTGGCTGTTCCCCAGAATGCCTGGGCAGTTTGTAGAGGCCCTAATATCTCCTGATGGTGACGGAAGGATTTGTAGGGAAAGCTTCCTGCAGGGCAGAGGCCTGCTGCCTTTGAATAGAAGGCAGCCAGCAGCTCTACGGGCCTCAGCAAGAGATGCCACTGCACCATCAGGAAACTTTGATTTATTATCTGAGAAATTCACCATCCATCTGCATGAAGAGGTCACAGAAGCAACTTTCCTAATGTGAATCTGAGACCCCCATTATTTCCCACTTATTGCTACAAGCATGAAAAATTGTTCCAACCGAGAAAGCTGGACTTTCAGGACTTGTTGCCATGGTTGAATTTATAGGAATATTTAGGAGCAATGCCTAGTGGGTTTTTTTTGAACCTATAAACTCCAACAATTTTCACAGGTTTTTGCTAATTAATGCCACCACTGTGGAAATGGAAGCAGTTCTGCAAACAAGCTGCGACAAATGGGATTTTTATTGCCAGTGGAAAAGCCCAGGGAATAATTAGCGCGTCCATGGAGATCTTTTGATTACAGACATCTGCATTGGTAATGTCCAGACGCAAAGATCACCCAGGGAAATGTTTTGGGAGTTTCACCTTAGGGCACATTTATTGTATTGTCAGCTACACCCTTCAAAATGCAGTCGGACATATGTGGGAAAATATTTTGTGAAATGCTAGGCCAAGGAACCTGATGTTGACTAATCTGGTCTAGGGAAACTGGCTTTGCTTTCCAAAGCACTGTCCAGCTGCCAAGACTTGCAGATGTAATATTTTGATATCTCATTAAAGCTGATTTCACAGAGATATTTCTCAGTGCTGCATCTGAGTTGCTGTGAGTTGCCCGAGATGCTTTTGCAGTTATCACTGCCTTGCTGAATAGGATGAAGAGGAAACAACGAGACTGATTATTAAAAAGCCACATGACTCCTTGAAAATGAAACATTGAAGAAAGAATTCATGTAAAGACAGGATTTATTAGTTCAGGTTTAAGGGTAACTTGATTTGGGATTTTCCTCTTGTCAAAGGGATTCACGATATAAATTATGAATCTACTTATAGAAGTGGTAGAGGTTTTGCCTTTTTTGAAAAGGCATGCTTTTAAACTGGCCAATAAAATAATTATTGCAGGCCTATGAAGAAGAACTTTTAGCTAAGGGTTTTTTAAAAGCCACAATTATTTTCATTCAAATAGCATTAGAGCACAGTTACCCCAGTTCTAGACCTGTTCATGTTGTATTAAATGCCAATAAGCCATTAAATGCCAAACAAAATTCATCCTCTCCCTGAAAAAATTTATAGCATACAAGCTTGCTTGTGTTTACCCATTGTGCTTGGATATAGGATATAAAATATATCAAATTTGTAATGCCTGTGATTTTAAAACATTGGTGACACAATGTAGGTCTGTCCTGCTTAGAATCTCTCATTGATGGGATCTTCAATCCCACAAGCCTTGAAGCAGAAATGCCCTTAAATTTCTATTTAAGCCCATCCTTCTCCAGGACAACCATTAAGAAAATGATTCATTTTAAGATACATTTCAGTCCCAGTGGCATCATTTATCCTACTCACTGGTCAAGCAGTCACTTAAACAAAGTTAAATACTGAGCCGACCTAATTCTGAAAACAGGCTGTCCTTCAAAATGTCATGAGAGGCAAGAATAACTAATTCTCCTGGCTTTTAAGTCACTATGTACATGACACATAGCTGTACCCACTAATGCACCAACATATCAGATATTTCCAGAGATCTCTATTGGCTCAGCTTTTCTGGTCTCTCTGTGATGAGGGGCAAGGGTGGAAGGAATGAAGGATTAGGAAAGAAGGAGAATTCAGAGTTATTCAGAGAATACTTTTGTTGTCAGGTAAGTAGAACTTGTATGACAAGTACATGTATATTCATGGGCACTGAGAACTGGAGTCCACGCTTGTTGCTGTCTGACCCAGGATATTTACAGACATGTGAAGCAACTTCAGAATGAGGTTTGTAATAACCTCATTCTGAGTCCTTATGGAGTCTTTCCAGAAGTCCCTAGAGATGCCTGTGATCACATGTGTCTTATTGTCACCGCCTTGGACAGATGGGAAAGTCCCTGGAGAAATTGCTTCAGAGTGGTGTTTACTGATCAGGATGTGGGCAGCAGTGAAACTGTTTTTGTGGAACACTTGCACTGGTTTTGGGGTGCAGGTGAAAGGAAACTCTATCTTACAGTGTCCTGCAGACAGGGTTTTCATTAATTCTGGGTAGTCTTTCAAAGTACAGCCTATTTACATGTACAATCCAGATGACTTTGAGCTCCAACTTGGTACATTTTTCAGCTGCATTTAAGGAAATGGTTTACAGTAGTTAAAGGTACGACTGTGTGGCACGTATATCTGCCATTCAGAAATACAATATGAATTCCTGCAAATAAGGTATTTAAGCATAAATGTGTTTGACTGTTTTCTAATGAGCCTTGTTCACAGGCCCTGCAGGGTTAATTAGGTTTCTAGATCTTATCTTTACTCTATTACACTAAAGGCAAAAACCTCTACAGGAACTGAATCCACTCAGAAAAAGCAAATAAACTAGCTCTAAATGATCACAAACTGACCAAGCTTTTCTGCTTCAGCTCCCTGTGTGCCTTCAGGCAACCGGGATTTAAAAGCACTGAGATTACAGGACCATAAAAATACGCATTTACATTTATGTGTGGTCACATGCAAAATTTAAGATTTAGAGAAAGCCACAAAGGGAATGTTTAACACAAGTAGCCAGGCACAAGCTGAATTAATGACACAGCAGCCCCAGCAGAAACACAAGAAAAACATGTAAACTTTCATCTATTATTAGTTGCTGTAGCCCACACTCCAGAGCACAAGGACGCATGGTCATTAGAGGCTGTTCTTTTCCAAGAGATCTTTTAGCTGCCCCATGAATGGGAGCTGGGCAAGTTCTGAAATGTAGGGAATTCACATGTGAGAGTTCTTGTTTTGAATTTTCTTTCTTTGTTGGATGATTAAATCGCTGATAATATGAAAAGAATAGCCAGAACCCTCTGCTGACCCCTGCCCAGGTGGGGACGCTCTGCAGGAGGACTCTCCAGCCTGTTCGTGTTGGACACCCTGGGCTGGGAGAAGGCTGCAGATGGTGCTCCCAGGATGTGCATCAGCTCCTCTAGCACGGGAAGGCTTTGCATTCCTGCAGCCCATGGCAGCCAGGCAGAGTTTTTGTACCAAGCCTTGCATGTCTGGTGCAGGCAATTCAAGAGCCTGTAGCAAATACAAGAGTGTGTGCTGACAGGACAAGGGGCAATGGCTTCAAACTGACAGTGAGTAGATTTGGATTAGATATTTGAAGGAAATTCTTCCTTATGAATGTGCTGAGGCCCTGGCACAGAGAAGCTTCCAGAGAAGCTGTGGATACCACATCCCTGGAAGAGTCAAAGACCGGGCTGGATGGAGCTCTGAGCAACCTGGCCTAGTGGGAGCTGTCCCTTCCCATGGCAGTAGGGTTGGAACCAGGTGTTTTTAAAGTCCCTTCCAAGCTGCTCAGTGATTCTGATTCTTTGACTTCCTTTGCTTAAAATTCCTGTGCTGTAATGTAATGCAGACACATCCTGATGGAAAGCTCCAGGAGTACATTCTGTTTGGTTTTGCATGTGTTGGTATCACACCTACCAGACTGGCTTTTAGGCCTGCCATGTTAAGCTTACCAATGCAACTGCAACACAAGTAAATATTAGATATGAAGAGAAACATGTTTTCCTTTTAGTTTTTCTTGCCATGACACTGTTGTTTTTGCAGGAAATATGTTGGGTTTTTTTCCCCCAAGAGTGTCCTATCAGGGAGTAAAAACTAGACTGGTTCATTTTAAGCAAATCTGAGTTCTGGTTGTGTAATTATGGATCTGCTCACATGAACATGCACCAAAAAAAAAGTGGAGGAGTTCCTTGGGGAAAAGTAATGAAGCCTGTTTGTCTTGCCAAAGCTATGTTGTATTATAATATAGCAAACGATAGCACGAGAATTTCTCATGTAGGACATTCTTCAGGAATAAAATTCAACCAACAGATAAGTTTCAGAAACCAATTGTCCTGTTGCTAATTTCCCCCACACCCCCTGCAGAAGTTTGTTGAGTTCCTTTGCAAATTGCAAACTACTCAGCACCTTAGGCAGGGTCTGCTCCACAGCTGGCCTGGCTCAGCACAGTAATGGGATCAATAGTGGAGCTATTCAATAGCAGCCCTGAATTTGGAATGCTAATTGTTTAACCTTGTCAAGTGGAACAATTGCATTTTTGATACTATAGTGGTAGGGAGCTCAAATAAGCAAAGGGGAAAAGGACATTCTCATATGCATACACCTTTTTTTTTTTTTTTTTGC